AAGTCTACCTAGATTGTTCTAGGCCAATCTTGTTTTCATGTTCTTGTTGACAAAAGTAATTGAAAGTATGTGAAGATATTATTGGTATCATTTCTTAACCCAATGAAAGAACTTCTAAGCCAACACTAGGACACCAGGAAAGGCAAGAAATGTGAATAAAATCAATTAACATAAGCACAACTTGAGCTGTTGCTTTACATCATTCTGTGAGATAGTGCCATCTGTTTTGAATATGAGAGTGAGAAATTTTGAGTAGGAGGTATGAAAAGCATCATGGTGTAATGGAAAAACACTGTACTTAGGAAACCTGTGTTTGAATATCATCTCTGATACGACAGCGGATAAAATGCTTTAACATCTATCTCTGAATGAATGAAGAATTAAGTATGAAATATGGGTAAACTACTAGGAATACAAATATAAAAGTTATCTAATACCATTGCTGCTCTCTAATTGGAGGAGATGAAGGCACTAACACCTTAAGGGAAGGAATCAGAAAAGGTTTCATAGAGCAGGGAGTATCTGAGCTGAGCCTTCAAGAGATGATGAACATCCTAATATGTCAAAGTGAGGAGGGAGTGTGTTCTAGGCACATGGAACAGTTTATGCAAAGGCACAGAGATTGGACGTAGTGTATTTGGTGAATTTGGTGAAGGATCAGACCAACCTGGCTGGAAAGTAGAGTGTGTGAAGGGAAAGAATATCAAATAAGTCTAGAAAAATGTGGAGGGCTTTAAATGTTAGACTAAAGCATTTGTATTTTATTCTAGAGAAGTAGAGAGACACAGATTTTAGCTTTGATTTCTTCATCTGAAAACTACCTGTTCACATTCTTTGACTTTATTTATAAACTGGGGAAGTATTGCCACTTAAAAAAAATCTATTTTTTATCCATTTGAAGATACACCTTGAGAGATATTTTTCTCTATTTTCTTCCCATCTCTGTTCTTTCTGGTCCTTGAATTGATTCATTTGTACCCTACTTTTAATTGGGTTTCTACTTTTCTTTCTATTTTATTCATTTAAAAATTATATATGGAATAATACATACATGCACACACACACACACACACACACACACACACACAAGCAAAAGACTATGCTAGTGTTGGACATACTTGGACGTTGTGAGAGGCCTAACTAGCTCCAGCTATACCACATCTGGGGCAAATTCATTTGAATAGGCACCTTGGATAGTCTGACTGTCCCTTTCCCACCGCAGCAATGATAGGCTTCTTTGGGCCAAACTTATGTGCCTTCTGCTATTTATGCCTTTGTTTACAGAATCCCAAGGTTTCAGTGTTGAACAGGATCTTGGAGACCATTTAGTCTAACATATACCTGAATAAGAATTTTCTCTTTACTGTCTTGAAAAATGGTCATCCAGCCTTTACTGGTGTGAGGGAACTCAGTATGTCCCAAGGCAATTCATTCCCACTGTGGCCTCCCTTTCATTGTTAGGAAGTTGTTCCTTTCTTTAAGCCTGAATTTGTCTCTCTTCTGCTTCCACACCTACTAAGTTTTAACAATTCCTCTTTCCCCCAGGTATAAAAAAGACAAGTCCATTGTGGGACCCCTCCCCTCTTCTGCACCCCACCCCACCCCCTCAAATAGTTCTTCAGATACTTGAAAATAGCCAAAAATCCCCAGTTCCTTCAAGTCATGAAAACATATTATCTGGAGCCCTTCAATCATCCTGCTTGACTTCCTCTGGCCTCTCTAGCTTGTCAAAGACTCTCCTAAAATGTGTTACCTGCATATAGTCATTCCAGGGTAGAGGGCTGAGGGTGTCACATGCCTCTTTTACTTCTTGGGAGACCACATTAATTTGTGGTTACACTTCATGAACTACTAATTAGCATGTCCCTTCCCAAACTTATATTTGTGAAGGTAATTTTTAAAATCCAAATGTAAGGGTTTTTTTTTAAATTTTCATTTTATTAGACTTAGCCCAGTGTTTATAGTCTGTTAAGATCTTTCTGGATTCTGTCATCCAGTGTGTTAGTTTTCTCTCCTAGCTTTTTTTCATCTGTACATTTGATAAACATGGTACATATGCAATTAACCAAGTCATGATAAGCATGTTAAGCCATACAGGGCTAAATACAGACTCTCTACAGCATTCCACTGGAGAATTTCTTCCATTTAATGACATATATAAGGAAAGAGAATTTTTAGTAAATGAGTTGATTGGCATTTATAATACCAGTAGAACTGATATTGTGAACTTGAAAAACATTTTGTTTCCTCAAGTCTTCCTTAGTTAAGAAATTTGGAGAGGGTTTGTTGAAACAGGCTCTTTATTTACTAAGACTCACTGGGAATTGTGGGAAAGTGCATATTCTTATCAGAAGATTTAGATAACATAAGCCCCCTACCCCCACCCCCAGTAGTGATTTAATTCTTATAGTGAATTTTGTGCCAGTCCTTTTAAGTTGAGAGACAGAGACACAGAGATAGAGAGGCATAGATCATGTCCCATGAGGTGATTTTAACATTTGGAGACAATTTAGACTAAATATCAGAATTTCTTTGAGATCTCTGGGTATAGTGTCCCAGGGGACATGGAGACTTTAAAAACTAGGCAGGGCATAATTATATACAAAGGATTATATGTGAGCTTTTGGAATCAATAATCCTGTAGTGGTCCTGGGGTAAGCAGATTAGATTTAGAGTATTACCATTCAGCTAAATATGTGATTCATTCTTTGCACTGGATCAAGGAATGAAGTATTTTTTACTATTTCATTAACAGTTGTCTACTACCATGTTGTTTTGTTTTGAATATTGTTGCTTTATGGATACTACTAATATATTTTGCTGATTTGTTTACCACATTAAGTTCATAATGACCAGATTTCTTACTTGACAGGAACGACTTTTTTATTTTATTTTTTTCTTGTTGTTGATACATTTTGACACAATAGGCCTTCCCAATAAACAAAAACAAACCTGACCCAAAATATACATTCTCTACAAACAAAGAAAACTTCATAATGGACTGATTGCAATTGGTAGTATGTATCACTTTCCACTTTTGTAGCATAGTGATTAACAGAATTAAAGTATAAATGCTTTAACTTCAATATTATTGTACCAACTTTGTTGTGTTTAACCTAAGGGGTTTTGTCTTTTAGAGTTGTCTTTTTATTTACATTGTTGCAATGGTGCATATTTTTCTTCTTATTCCACATCACTTTCCATAAGTGTTCCAGTATTCCTCTTTAATTCTCCATATTAACTGAGGAAGAACTAATTTAAAATAAGCTCTATATGTTGTGCGTACCATTTTATGAGTCCAGGAAATTAAAGTGATTACTCTCCAGTTTCCTCAGTTCCTACTGTGATAGGATTTACTTTTTTGCTGTTGTAGTTGTTGTCATTGTTTTTGCGGGAATCAGATAAAGGGAGAGAAATGATAAATATATATATATATATAATATGTAGAATATTGTTGTAGGTACAGTTAGAAAGGAAACCTTTCCAAATGCTTGCCAGCCAACAAAAAAATATACCTTGCTTGGTCTAAGCATACCTGAGCCACACACTTTTGGCACTTTAGCTATTCTTATTTAAACTTAAAAATCAAATACAGGTGCAAGGCAAAGTTGCTTTTTTTTTTTTGCCCCTCCTATCTCTTCAGGTAGAACTATAGAATGTTAGAGCTGATTCAAACCCTCAAAATCCAGCCTCCTCATTTTGCAGATAAAGAAAAAGAATCCTGAAAAGCTGTGTTCTATCCAAAGTCTTACCTGTACTTAGTGGCAGAGCTGGAACTAGAAAATAAGTCACCTCATTCCACTTCCAGTGTATTTTGTTCTATACCACATCGATGGCTAAATGTTTAGGCTTGATTATGTCAAGAAAATTAGGGCATCCTTTAAAAAATGGTATTTGTTTTTGGTTGATGTGACCTACAGTTACAAAATTGAAATAGCATATGGATGATCCTGTGATAAATAAAAAAATTACAGGGCAAAGTGACATTCTCTCTTTAAGTCCATAGGCACTTTTTTGAAATGTATAGCTTGGTCAACAAATCAATTCCAATTAGCACAATTAAATAATTGAGAATCAAAATATATTAGCTATTTTGTTATTAGATAATTATTCCCTTTTAAGTTTCTCGAGTTTTCTAAAGGAATGATAGTCTTCACTGTATATTGTGTATTATCGAATGATCATTTTTGGTCTGTGAAGGGGGCTATAAAATTGTGCTGTGGTTCATCTTTGCCAAACAGATAAGTATGAGGTGGATCTTTAGAGATTTACATATATCTTTAGTAGTGATTTGGGACATTTTATATTGTTTTTGATAGCTTTTTCTTTTGAGAACTGCCTACCTGTTCATATCAGGTCTTTATCAGAAAAACTTACTGCAAAGATTCTTCCCCTAATTAACTTCTCTTCAAATCTAACTTTATTGATCTTACCTATACAGCAGCTTTCCCTCTTGTTTACAATGGTGTCCTAATGGAATTGTCCACTGTCTAGTTAATCTCAAGCATCTATTAATGGCTTACTGTGTGCCAGATATTGTAATAAGTGTTAGACTAGATGATCTTTAAATTTTCATCCAGCTCTAAAATTTTATGATTCTGTTTGAATGGTCCCCATGTACAAGAAGAATCAGAATTGTTTTCCTTACTTGACTACTGAGGGTAGGATTAGGTGGTGTCACATTTTGAATAAACAGAAGGGGAGAAAAACTTCATAACAAAGTTATCAGAAGTGGAATATGTTGCCATATATGGAATTTCCTACTACTGGAGATACTCTAGTAGTTGCTAAAGGACCACTTTTTAAGGATGTTTTAGGAGGAGATTATTGTCTACATATGGATTCAACTAGATGACATCTGAAGTCACATCTGTCTCTGAAATGATATGATTTTAAGATAGTCCCCAATTTACAGATATCCCACAGGTATGATCAGCAAGTGGATATAGCCACCTTAAGCTGTTTTTGGAATAACCCAAGGAAAGGAAATATCTACTCACTTGGCCTAATTCAAGATCCCTGGAGAGTATGATAAAATTCAGATGTAGAGTTTATACTTTCCCAGTGGTCAGGAGTATCTGACTGCATATCACTTCTCCCCCTCTCCCCTCATCCAGTCTTTTCTAGGAATCCCTCTATGTATTCTGTTTCTATAGGGAAATGTATTCCAAGTTCTAAGTACAGAAGATGACGGGCTGGTCATATTTTGAAAGTAAGAGCTAACTGATGGACCATGTGTTCTGTGGATATTGTCACTGTCTCAAGAGAAAATGAGAAAGGCACCCCTGGCAAACTTATGGGAGAGCCTGGGCAAGAGTTCATACAGAATGAGCAGACGTGGATGTGTTGAGATCTGCATTGCTCCAGGGAGCATATCAATGAGATCACATTTGACTGTTTGAGTATGATACAGAAGAGTACACTTGGGTTTGAGTCAGAGGATCTATGTTTGAGTGTTATTATTATGTGCTCTTTGTGAGCTAAGATAAATGATTTTATCTTTATAGGACCTCATTTCAGTTGTAAAATAAGGTAACCGATTTAGGGTAGTGGTGTCAAATAGAAATGAGGCCACTAAACTTTACGTAAGAATCCCCGTGGCCACATACTGACTTAGAATACCACACATTAATATTATGTTCTTTTGTGTTTTTATTTTTTTGGTAAACATTTCCTATGACATTATCTGGCTCCTGTCCTGGGAGTGTTGCCAGCCACAATGCAGCTTTTTGGTCTCTTGTTTGACACCTCTGCTCTAGATTACTTCTGAAGGCCAGTATAGCTTCCTATTCTTTTGATCCCATAAACATGACCACGTCATAAGTTGAGGATTACCTGTACATAAACATCAAATAAATGCCATAGAAGTTCAAAGCAGACAAAAATTGCCTCTGGCTAAGCTGATAAGAAGGCTTCTCAAAGGACACCACAGCTGTCTCAAAATTAAATGTCATTCTTGGAACATCTGTGTTTCAAATTGTGCTGTACATGTCTTGTCACCTAAATCATTAACCTAATAAATGATATTCAGGACATTTTTCTGTAATCTCCTCTTATCATTGCAACTTTCATATAATCCTTATTTGATCTTCACAATTCTCTGAGGTAGGTAAAGAAGGGATTTTTATTCTGATGTCACAGATAAACCATTGAGGTTTAGAGCCTTTTAGTGACTTATCCAAAGTCACATACATAATTAGTGGCACATCCAAAGCAGAATTAAAGCCTTCCGGCCTAGCCCACTGTTCTTCATATTAAATTTAAATAGCTCTGTGGATATCTTTGCCTTTTTTGGAAAGGTAGTGGTGGCATACTGGAGAGAAAGCTGGCGTTAAAACCATAAAGACCCAGGAGCAGCTAGGTGGTCCAGTGCATAGAGCTCTGGCCCTGGAGTCAGAAAGGACCTGCGTTCAAATCAGGCCTCAGACACTTACTAGCTGTGTGACCCTGGGCAAGTCACTTAACCCGATTGCCTCACCAAAAACAAACAAACAAAAACCATAAAGACCTGGATTTGAGTCCCAACCCTGACACAAAATCTGTGTGATCATGGGCAAATCATTTACTCTCTCAGTACCCTACATCATTCTTAAAGGCTGTAGTGGGGAGAGAAGGTATTCACCCTCATTGGTAGAGGAGTTTCTTCACCAAAGATTTCCCTATACCAAGGAAAGCATAGGTTCAGTTCCTATCAATCCAACAATCCAGTTGATTGTTTTTCAAGAGCATTTTATTCTAAAATTTCCTTTCTTATATTATACATATGGGACATCTAATTTAATTCTCCCAAATGGAAAACAGTGAATGATATCTACTTCAGCATCTGCTTCCCATAGTCAGCATCCTAAAATGATTTATTTCACTGGATAGAATAGATGAAAGGTGAGATCCAAGATTATATAATCCTTTGTCATATACCTGTTCTTTCTGCTAGGTATCTAGAAAGACTTTGTCATATAGGGTATCCCAAAAGTCTTAGTGCAGTTTAAAGTTATTTAATGGCTTAAAAATGCACTAAGACTTTTGAGACTGCTTGTACAGTGATTAGACTGTGAGGCATGGTTGGATTTAGTCAGGCAAACTGCATTCAAATCCCTGCTTTGATACTTAGTGGATGTAGTTGACTGTTGCTCTCACTGTACCTCTACTAAGCCTCAGATTTCCTACATAGAAAATAATGATAATAATATTTGCAATACCTACCCTATTTTGTACTATATTAGCATGAGCTGTCATTTCAACTAATTTAGACAGGGTTTAAAGGTCTCCTCAATTTCTTTTATTTAAGCAGGTGAGGTCCATCCCTCTTCTATTTGAAATATGCTTCCTTCTGAAGACTCAACAGGGTATATGCATAAAAAATATTTTTAGAAAGCTCCCATAGTATACACATATTTCAGCTTGTGGATTATCTGACTTTTAATGATCAGCTTGGCCATTACTGGTTTACCAATGGGGATAAAAATCTTTTCCCTACATTTTTGGCAGGATATGTTTAGCTTTTTAAGGATATACCTCTTTGGGGGCAGGTAGGTGGGGCAGTGGATAGAGCACTGGCCCTGGAGTCAGGAGGACCTGAGTTCAAATATGGTCTCAGACTAGACACTTGACACTTACTATCTGTGTGACACTGGGCAAGTCACTTAACCCCAATTGCCTCAGGGAAAATAAAATTAAACTAAATGGAATAATGATCAGCTTAAGGTCACTATTGAGCTCACCATATGGGTAACACACTCCATTCACCAATGTGACACATTCATTGATCATAGACCATAGGATTGTGGAATGTCAGAACTAGAAAGGGCCTTAGAGGTCATGGACTCCAACCCACTCCATTTATAGATAAGGAAATTCAGGTATAGAGAGAGGAAGTGATTTTTCCTAAAGTCATATACTAAGTGGCAGAGTTTGGAATTTAACTCTCAGACCAGTGTCTGTTTCAAAGCATCAATGTTTTCCTTAAGGTTAGGAGTTTTCATGAGATAACTATTCAATAAAATTTTCCTAATATATTCTGGATATTACCATTAGCACACTAAGCATATGGTCAAGAAATAATGGAATACAACATCTAGTTAAGCCTGGGGTTTAGAAGCAGCTTGGAAGAAGAGCAGGTGATAGGCAGGTGATCAGGCCTAGACCTCCAGTCTGCTACAGAGAGCCTACTGGCTAAATCCTGCCTGCCTTAGATGTGGACTTCTGGAAGCTAAAACAGGCATGTTCTCTCTGTCCCTCAGAAGGAGTTCCTGCCACTCCCAGAGATTCTACAAACTATCCCCCACACAAGGAAAGCCAAGCATCCCCAGCCATCCTCTCCATGCATGGGGTGTAGCTACAATTTCTCTGTAATTTTTCTTGTTCTAATTGTAGTGTCCTGTCACCTACGTACCAAGACAAAGCTTGTTTTCTTCCCAGTCACTAGTGGGGCCTTGCTAGACATGTAGTAATTTGGTGCTGTTATCCTTTTATTCCCAAACGTATAACATTTCAGTAGAAGGCGATGACAAGTTAGCAGCCTGTTGAGCTGTTGCTATCTGAGAACCCTCCCCTCATCAGTTTTTCAGTTTATGAATCAGCCTGATTGTCAGTGATGCTGTGTGACCATATAACTAAATTCACACAGGCTATAACATTGTCCTACCAGCCTTCCTCAACCTGACAGCAGTAAAGTAGGTGCTATTATTATTCCCATTTTATAAATGAGGAAACTGAGGCAGACAGGTTAAGTGAATTTCCTAGGGTCACGCAGTTACTGTCTAAGGCCAAATTAGAACTCAGATCTTCCTGACTCCAATATAAAGGTCTGTCTACTATGCCCTTTCACTGCTTCTATTATTTCTCTTCATTTTGCTATCTTAAAGTTGTGTCCCCAAATTGTGTTGTCTCTAGCATGGGCCTTCTTCTGTATGTATATGAACTTATTTAGGCAATACTATATTACTTTATTTTAGACTAGTGATGGTTTTTTTTAATAGGTCAAATTGGAGAGCTGTTTTAATTGCATGTCATAGCTTCTCATCTTTATCCCATTTTTAAAATGATGGTAGTTTCGATTTTTGTTCTTTCTGGTCCAACTATACATAGTTGATTTAGAAATTACTTTCATCGATAGGCATTTTCCATATGTTAAAATGGAGTTAATTGCGATTTTGCTTGGTGGTCACCATGTCCAGTGCCCAAATACCTTCTTAAAGAAAGTTTTATTTTTTGTCTGGGCCAGATGATTTCATCAGTGTCCGTTAATGCAACTCATCTGTAACCTTAGAGAGTTAGTTGTATGGGTGTCTGATAGATTAAGTAATTTGTCCATGGTCACACAGCAGTACATGTGTGAAAGAGGCCTTGAGTCCAGCTCTTCCTGATTCTATCCGTTAGGCACACTGCCTCTCTTTAAAGCAAGAATTCTTAATTTTGTGTGTGTGTGTGTCAGGAACTCCTTTGGTTATTATTTTTTTTTCCCATATGCTTTTGAGTTGAAAATTTTTCTCCCTTTTCCTCCCCACCACCCTCCCCAAGATGGCACACAATCTGACATAGGCTTTACATTTACATACCCATTAAACATGTTTTCACATTAGTGAAGTTGTAAGTAAAAATTAAAACCAATAGGAGGAACCATCAGAAAGATGAAACAAAACTCAACAGAAGGTAAAAATAAGTGATAGCGATTCGACTTCCATAGTTCTTTCTTTGGATGTGGACAGCATTTTCCATCCCGAGGCCTCTGGAGATGTCTTAGATCCTCGTAATGCTGAGAAGGGTTCAGTTTAACATTCTTAGTCATTGCATAACGTGGCTGTTATTGTGTACAAAGTCCTCTTGGTTCTGCCCACTTCACTCAGCATCAGACCATATAAGTCTTTCCAGGTTTTTCTGAAGTCAGCCTGTTCATCATTTCTTATAGCACAATAGTATTCCATTACATTCATATACCACAACTTGCTCAGCCATTCCCCAGTTGATGGGCATCCTCTCAATTTCCAATTCTTTGCCACCACAAAAAGAGCTGCTATGAGTATTTTTGTACATGTGGGTCCTTTTCCCATTTGTTTGATCTCTTTGGGATATAGCCCTAGAAGTGCTATTGCTGGATCAAAGG